GGTCCCCCCCCCCCCCCCCCCCCCCCCCCACTGTCGCCTTGTCTGCCGCATGCCTCGCAACTCCCTCCACCTTCCCCACCCACCGCACATTTCCTTTCCCACACCTCCGCCCCAACCCATCCCACGCATTCCTGCTTCTCCGTTTGCCTGACACCCTCATCCGCAGACTCCACCATCCGGCCCCACCATCCGGCCCCGCCTTCCATTCTATTTTCGCTCTTGCCTCAATTCGCTTCCTCAAAACCCAATCCAGTGGGGCCCCCCACCCACACTATACACACAATACTTACTACAGTGAATCCTCGCTAACTGCATATGAAAAGTGGACCGTTTTCGTATGCAGTTGTACTCCATTCTCCCATCCTCTTCATACTCTACCTCTTCCCTCGCTCACTCTGGCCCTCTGCATCCCGCCAATCTCCTACTACAGTCCAGTACCATCTCTATGTACGACGTCCCCCCTTTTGCCGACTTGTTTCCTCAAAAAAACGCACCCTCTCAGGTGAGTCACACTTTTTCTATCCCGTTTCCAGCTCCTGTATCTTTATTTCCATCAATTTCCTATCGAACATGCCGCCAACATATCGACTAAACTCTTCTTTTAAACATCTACTCTGTATATAACTTGTACACACTCTCTCAAGCCCCAAAGTCCTGTATGTTCCCACTCCCCTTGTCCACATGTCACATCCATGTCAAAACGCTCAACTCCACTCGGGCTCCTGCCCATGCCGTGTGCCGCCACCGTCGTGGTTAATCCAATCGACAAACTACCGCGCCGCCCATTCGACCCATGCCGCACATCCCCGCCACATCACGTCTATCCTTTCCGTGCTCCTTGAAACCATCTCCTATAATCAAAACACATCTTCATCCTCAATGTAGCCACCCCCTTCGTTCACACTTGAATACCTGTTTTTATTCTTCCCTTGCCCTCTCGCACACGGCTTGCTGTTCACTACCACCACAAACTGTGCTCCCTCCAGATTACGCATGATTGTGTAAGATGGGCGACGGAGAAAACCTTGCTGCCAATTGCAGATCCTATGTTAAAAAGTCACGTACCATCATATCTCTTGTATAATGTCATCAAAACTCTCTCACTTCTGAAAACGTTTTATCCCCAGCAACCAAAAATCTCATCAACCGATAACTTACCGTCGTTTCAATTTCTTACCCTCACTGTTGGACATTCGTCGCCATTCCAAGTCCTCGTGAGGCACAAGTCCAGTTCATCCACTTGTTCCGCTCCTAAGATCACCCCGTGTCGTTTCTCTTCGACACACCCAGCTTACATGACTCTGCCAGTTCACATATACACTTGTATTAAAAACTGATAAAACCGATCACTTCACAGACCCGACGTGATATGCATTCGCTGGCAATCGATACGATACTAAATCTTGTTCCGTGCCGTTTCCCAAGTGATATCAAATTTCTTTCCTTGCCACAGCGAGACTAATTATGTGTATTGTAGCTTATATCAATAGGCCTTGTCGCAAGAACCTTGTCTGAATGAATACCAGCGCGCTATCACATTTCGAGACCATACTGTACCACCACGTCATGGTCCGCCTGGAGTATTACTGTAGGGTACCCGCCATTCCAATCAAAAATGTGGTTTTACTCCGCTCCCATTTCTGAGTGCGCCCGTTTTTCCGTTCGGAACTTCTCCGTTAAATCGTGCGGTTTGATCAGTGCAGATCTGAGCTTCCAGAAGTGCTACAACTCCGTCGATCAATACATGCATGTCTAGCTCGTAGAACATATGAGTTTACAGTACGCTGTGGCGTCCTATCCAGCCCCCACTCGTGACCTCTGCAAGAGCTCAACGGGGCGTTTTCCCTATATAATTCCAATCCATCGTGTTCGTTACAGGTGTCTAGATAACACCATTACTCAAAAGCTCTCCGGCTAGTCAGCTGAGAATTTTTAGGTCCACCCCTTCTTCAAATTGAAATACTAGTACTGCACACTGAGAGATATAAAAATCGGCAGATTGCATAAAGACTTGACGCAGACCACTATCCATCATATTCGGATATAGCCCAACCCGGCGTACCTGACAAAAATAGCTTCGCTATGGAACATTCCATGTCTTCATTTTTGTCTTGTCCATTCATCGTCGGAGTAAGATTCTGGCTACGCTATTTCTAGCATTTCGTCTCAAACCTCATTCTCTGAAGCCTACATCATGAAAAGAAAATTTTCTTGCATTGGAAATTCTTACTCTTCCCATGGGGACCCAAGTGTGCCTCACAGTATTCAAGGCATTTTCCATAGAAACATGCCTCACGCAGTACGGAGAGTACCATATATACAGGGGACATTGCGCCATGTGGTGCAATATCGGAGTGGAAACAATTGAAAATGCGTATCGTCATGCAGCGCTTAGGAATATTTTCTAAAACTATTTAGCGTTCATACTGTTCAGTATGCTTCGCTTCTATTTGAAGCAGGGTTCATAAATCAGCAATCTTTGTACTCACTCTTTTTGTACTAAAAAAGTACACTCGCCTTGTTTTAAAGAACCTTTAGGCATACATCCGCGCAAGTTTTTATGAGTACTTGAAGCTTTTCCATCTTCCAAAAGTAAAACTCAAATTTCACAGACTCTTAAATTGTCTTACTGCTGCGTTTTCTCAGCAGGGTCCAAATATTCTCTGTGAAACAGAGCACAAGAGTAAGAATTGACAGAGTTGAGTATTTGAGTGATGAATATGATTTGCAAATGCAAAAAATGGGTCGGAGAGGGCCCGTATATGCAATAATGGCATTCCATTTTATCCTTTTATTGCTTATGGCCTACCAAGGCATGAATATGTACGGGTCCAAGTACTATGCGTGTAGTGTGAACGCAGAAGGAATGAGGTGCTGTCAATATTGGAATTTCTGAAGATTAAAGACCAAGATGAACTGAAAAAGAAGCAATGCTCACCAACATTTGTATTTTTATGGCACCGGGTAGCTCTCAATTCGAAAAAAGGACTGAGAAGTAATGTTCGGATGCCTGAAATTGATGTAAAACTGTACTTGTGTATTTTTTTGTCGTACGTGCACCAGTCTGCGTTCTTCTTGTAAGGCCATGCAAAATAAAACATGATTGAAGGGAAATTGGTGCTCCTTTTTCGGACACGAAGTTTCTGTATTACTCTTAAGCCTCTACTCTTGGCGTCACCCCGTTTCATCGAAAGGAGAAAAATCAACGAGTTTCACGATCTTTGGGCTGTTGTGGAAGTGCAGTTTGGTGCACTTTCTCAAAGCAACGGTTACTACAAATCAGTGAACGAAGCCAAATACCTCAAGACTATGAATGTGTCGGAACGAAATTCAACCTATATTTAGTTAGGTCGATTATCTCATATTTTAAAAATGGAACGTGAGTTTCTCAGATAGCACTCATGTGGGTACGTTGTCGCTGTGTTCTAAAATATGTTTCATAGGGACATGTGTAGCAGTAGAATACCAACAAGGCAAAAATCATTACTCAGAAACCCATTCGGTGTGCTGACTATCCCAAGAATGACAGCCAGTCGTTTTTTCTCAACGGGGTCAAAGAGAGTATCTAGAGTACTCTCGAAATAATAAAGTGATTAGAAACAGTTTATGAAAGTAGCTCCGTCTCACTTTCAATGATTAGTTTCACAGAAATAAACAGTACCTCTCTTTAGGGTCATATTCGTGTGGAATGGGATGAATTACTATTCATTTCAAAAATCTCTCTTTCGGAAAACCTAACTTGCGTAGATGTGCTTCCGGATATTTTTGTAGAAGTCCAAAATACTGCTTTGCTTCAACTACTGAATAACTCCCTCATCGTACACAACACCAAAACATCTTGATCTGACAATCATGGCCATGCTCTGGATGCAGTCCTGATTCATGCATCGTTACTTGTAGTCGGTTGGAAATATCATTTTTAAAGGAACTGCACAAGGATTGTGCTTGGGACTCTATCAAAAGCAAAATAAATTCAGTTACTGCTGATCCTTTCGGGCAATGCAGGAAGGCCTCTGTCATCAGCAGGTTCAAGAAAAAACATGTTTGACGAAAGAAGCGACGACCTCAAAAAACATTTGTTACCCCCAAATTGAAAAACACAAACCCCGGACATAACATAGCAAGAGTGACTCAAAATTTTATCAGGTCAATCGAAGGATAAAACGAAAAGTTTTAACCTTAAAGTTATTCCGTAACGGATTACGCCGCGTCATCTCTAAGGAGGTTCGAACGAGCTGATGCTGCATAGAAACTAAGCAGGGCTCCAAGTCGGGAATACATCGAGCGGAGGATGACGGTCTTCGTTGATGGTTGGTATGCAGGCTGATGGTAGATGCAAAATTACGTCCATCCATCCACCATGGGACCTGATGATCTCACCGCCATGAAAAAAACCCAAAATAAGTACGCACAATTTCATGCGATTTTGAGGCAGCACCTGAAAGAACTACTTTTTGATAACCGCTCGAGACTGCGCGAGTGCTGTATATATATATATATTTGTTTATCAACAAAAGACTGGTGATGTCTCTACGGTCCGAACAACTCCAAAGTTCGAACAGCTTCGGTTAGAGCATCCCCACCGGTAGCGACTATTCAATATTTTCTATGGCAACTTGTCATGAATTGAGTGGCCGATTCTATCGAAAAACTATCGACAACAATCCGAGGAAAGTATTTTTTTGTCGGACCCCACCGCACCGTTGCTATTCTATTCGTTGCGCGCATGCGCTCTTGTACACATCTCTCTCTGTCGTGCACATTGTTCCACTGCTGCCGCTCCAACTTCGAGCCCGCCTCGCCCGCGCGTTTTACCATGGACCACACCTGGCAGGATGCATTCTCGCAGGCTGAAATGGAATTTCTTGACCCGTTTGAAGACGATGTTGTAGTTGTATGCATCGCAGAGCAGACTAGGGCGGCGGGTGCTGCTGTATCCGCCGTCGCCGGCAACAGCGGTGGTGCCCTTGTCTCGTCAGCGGCCGGCTCCGGCATTGGCCGCATGCCGAACGTAGATCGCGCGTTTGAAGAAGCCTGGAAGAGGCTGCAGGACTACTACCTGGGATCAAACCGGCGTTACAGTGAAAAGACATTTGCTCGCCGCTTCCGAATGTCGCAGTCTACGTTTGACACGATCTACAATGCTGTGTCGTCTCGCGGGGAGTTCCAGCGGAAGCCGAATGCACTAGGCGAGCTCGGTCTGTTCCCCGTCCAGAGAATGGTTGCAGCCCTCCGGATGTTGGCGTACGGCACAGCGGCCGACGCTGTTGATGAGTATCTCCGAATATCGGAGTCCTCGGCGCTCCTATCTCTACAGCTCTTTTGCAATGCTGTTTGCGAAGAGTTCGGCGAGGAGTATGCGCGCCAACCGAACGCGGATGACCTGACGCGCATTCTTGCAATCAATGAACGCCGTGGCTTCCCAGGATGCCTTGGGTCCATTGACTGCCAACGTCGGCGCTGGGAGCGTTGCCCTGTTGCGTTCGCTGGTCAATTTACTAGGAAAGAGAAGAAACCGACCGTTGTGCTGGAGGCGATTTGCGACAGAGAGCTGTGGATCTGGCATGCCTTCTTTGGTTGCCCGGGTAGCCTAAACGATTTGAATGTGCTCAACATGTCTTCGACTATGGCTTCTGTTCTTGAAGGGAAGCACCCTCCCCGTTTTTCTTTCGTTGTTGATGGGACTACGTACAACACTCCATATTACTTTGCGGATGGGATATATCCGTCGTGGGCGATGTTCATTAAGACGTTGAGGAAATCCTCCTCTCCTGAGGCAAAGCGATTCTCTGCTGCTCAGGAAGCCGTGCGAAAGGATATAGAGCGCGCGTTCGGCGTGTTAGTCGCGCGGTTTCACATCCTGAAAGCGCCTTGTCTCCTTCGTGACCGCACTACAATGGCGAGCGTCATGCGTGCTTGTATTATTATGCATAATATGGTGGTCGAATCTAGGCGGGACGACTACGAGTCCGGGCATTACAATGCTTCTGCATCCTTCGAGTTCGGTATCTCCACCAACCTAGCAGCGTTTCAGTGGCAAGACCAGCAGTCGCTTGGGCTTGTTGGCAGCGCAGTGGGTACTACGGCGTTGAGTGCATGGGCAAACACCGTTGAGAAGCGTCTTAATGAGTTCACTAGCAGAACTGGTCACTCCGCGCTGAGGCAAAGTCTCATCCGGCATATCTGGTCTCGCTTTGGAGCCGGTAATGGGTGACGTCTTTCGTATGAATAAAGAGGAGCTTTATTTGTTTTCTGACTCTGTCTGGTGCATCGCAGCGCTTGATTCTCTTCAAAACGGATAAAGCTACAGAAAGTCTAGTCCGTCCTCGTCTTCGCCATCCACAGGGCTGTTGTCAGCGCCAGCTGGTTTTACAACATGCAATAAAGGCGTTGCAGTAAATGCCATGGTGGCAGCGGCAGCAGCAGCAGCGGCTGCGGCCTCAGCTCTGGCGTTGTCGAGATGCATTTTCTGTCGGAGTCGGAAGAATTCTTGCGCAGACTCGTCTTCGACATCATGCTTCCCAATGACCAGCATGATACCATTACGCTCAGACTGGGCAGCAGCGTTCTTCCCAACGCTTTCAGCGGACGCTGCCATGGATTTGGCACAGACAGCATGGCGTTACAAACTGTCTGGACTTCACCTTGTGCTCGTTTTGCTCTCTTCCTCCCCACGGGGGCTACGGAGACTCCATCGCTCTCCACGGTAGCCTCCGCAGCGTCCGTGGAAGAGCCGGGACTGTCAGCCCTGATGTCCGAAACAGCTCCGCCACTGCCTGAGGAAGCGCCCTGCTACTTCGGGCTGCGCCGCAAAACTTTGTACGCGTCGGCATATAGCCAGTCGGTATGCGGCGTATCCTTGAACGCATAATCAAGGCCGGACGCCATGGCCCCAGTATGTCCGGCAACCGCCAAACTGAACATTTCGTCGTCGCTCAGCCCACCCGTAGGCTTACAAGCCAGCACAAACATTTGGGCTTTGTGGAATACCATGACGTCCTTCGAAATGGCTTTGGACTTGTCAAAAACGGCCTTGATCTTCCAGTCTCGGTACTTTTTGGCGGACATCGGCGCCGGATCTTTGCTAACGAACTCTTGCCAAAGCTTGGTCATGAAAGTTTCTGCTTTTTGGTCGATCCCTGCAATGGGATCTTCCGAAGCGGAGAGCATCGCTTCGGCAACATGCTTCAGCTCCGGTGACGCCCATTGGGCACCGCGACCCATGACGCTGCTGTTCTGCGCGGGTACGTCGGCACACGTTGTGTGGTAGAGCCGCAAGGTTAACTAGCGCGGGACCGTGCAAGCGAAATACTGCGCTCTGCGACGCGCGAGGTGTCGAAAATCGCAGAAACATTCCGCTCCCGCGCAAAGATTGCATCCGTTCCCGCGCAAAGTTTGCTTCCGCTCCCGCGCAAAAATTGGTGGCAAGAGACCGGCGAAGAAGTATGCGCATTTCACCCTTTGGCAATAGATTCGCAATAGAATAGATTCCATTTTCGAGGCTATCTTGGCGAAGATAGACTCAAATCTAATTCTATACTAATCAAATTCTATCCGATAGAGATAGAATGTCCCGTTGGGGTTGCCTTTTTTGATCTATCGCTAAATTTGTTTATCATAACAAGAAAATAGTGAATAGAAGCTACCGGTGGGGATGCTCTTAGAAGAAATCATATCATTGCTATCATTTCGGAGTCTCTATGTCATTATGCCATTCTCAGCTTTTCCTCTTGTCTGGAGAAATTAGTCAGGCATTGCGCCAGTATCTTTTTTAAATCTTATAATTATTACAGACAGTCCTTCAAATGGGATAATGACGGATACTTAATTGTTCCGATCGGTAACGTGATACAAGACCTTTACTTTATTTCATATAATTTTATTCAACTATCTAATAGTAGAGGGTTTACGCAAATCAAACTTCTTAAATAATTTTGTTGCCACGTAAGAAACACAATACCAGTTGTTATAGTGGCATGATTATATTAAATTTCTTGGCAGATTTGCTCACGAAATTTCGAACAATCGGCGTTCTATACCAGTTCATGGTAAAGCTGGCTCGAGAGCAGATTTCGGAACTTTTCTAAGATTTTTGCCCTCGATTCTGCTTCAATTTCATAGGTGCTGCTCTCGTGCCTGAAGAAGAAAATGGTAGTGTCCGACAGTTGGATTGGTCTTCCATGTTAGCTGCCGTGCCCACAGCTATGGACAGCGGGCAGCTCAGGCTTCGATTTCTAGATTGTTGAAGAGGCGTCTTATTTTTCAAGACTGTGACATGCGCGAGACGATGTAGTCAAACTGAGTTCTGTTGCAGAGGGCTGTTTGTGCTTCCAAACGTTTTGGCAACGCGTGAGAACCTAATGGTCCCGTTCTGCCTTGTTACAGACTTCTGTTACATTCTGGGGACATGAAGTTACGTGTGGAAAATTTGGGTCAAAACGGGGTGATGCGTTCGGATGAAAATCATATTACTCGTGCTTGATATGATTTAGCGTGTCACCAGTAAGACTATGGCATGCGCAGTGGCCTTTCAAGTACGCACTGACCGTCCCGCGACATCTTCGCGCTACTATGACCAGATATGTATCGACGGGCCCCAAATGAGAGTTGCGTGCATCGACCACCCTCTTTTGCAGCGACTGTGGGCGACTATTTTCTTGCACATTTCTAAAGATGGTGAGGCTGATAATGCGAAGGAGCACTTTGTAAACCTCCTGCAAACAATGGTGTCCCAACAGCTTGCCTCTTATACAGATGCAAATATATACGTTGCAGCCCCCTCATTCCAAGGCCACGTGCGGATCTGTCAAAGCGCTAATTACGAGCTCTTTGATTCATCACTGGACGAGTGTGGAATAAAGGCACAGTATTGCAGCGCTGCAGACCAAGATATGGAGCCCTCGTTGTTCCTATCACCACTGTTTGGGGTCTTTTCTGCGCTTATTTTGATCGGATGCGAGTTTTGATGACGCCACTGCCGAACATACTGTCGCCGGAGGTGAAATATTGCAGAGGAAGCAGCCATATTCCGCAGAAGGTGTAGCATGAAGAAAAAGAGCCGATGAACAGTGATTGATATACAGAACAGCATTGGTCGAAGGGTATCGCTCGTGACTCTCAAGTCTTCGTGCTGATGCTCCAGGACACTGTATTAATTCGCACACATCCCCACGCTGCCAATAACGTTCTGCAAGCGGCCATCCTAGTGGAAAAACCACGCGAGATAGCGAGCGCGAACTGATTCTTCGTGACAAATACCTGTCCCGCACTGCAAACTTCTGAAAAAACCTTGATTCTGACGGTGCTGAGTCGCTTTTTAGAAGTGCAGGAACTCTGGAACAACGGACAGTAAGTAGCTTCGTTCGTTTCTTGGAAGGCATGGCTCTGATGTCAAGCCTCAATATCGGATTGCCCGTTGTTCGCATTTGATGCCCTCGTATACCCATCACAAGAGTCACAAATGTGTCCCTCTGCATGTATATCCTTGACGCTTCGTGCGTTTCAAAGGTTTTCACATTTCTTGTTACTGGGGCCCTGATAGTCTTCCCAAAGCTCAGAATGTTCCGAAGAACCAGCTGCGTACGATAACAGGGTGCTTTTCGGCACGAACGCACAAGGCCCTTTCGCGAATGCGAAAGGGCCCACCGTCGCAGCGGAGGTTGGTGTAACAACATCTCTCATCAGCCTGTGCAGGTTGGTCAAATCGGCCGGGAAGACCCTCTTAGCGAAAGTGACTAAGCTTCATAGTATCAAATCTGGCATTATCATACCTACTTTAGGCGCGAAGTAGCCCAACTTCGTTTCACGTTGAACGGCGCTTGCGGCGAGATCTCCGCTTTACAATGGACTGATACCAAGTTAGTTCTTAACTTTGGTGTTATATGTGGCCCTCTACGGAACAAAGCTGTAGTATAATTGATATGACCGCTAGTGTACCGGGCGGGCATCGGGAGCCCCGCCCGACAACAGAAGTAGAAGGTTAATCGACACCGTACATACGTGGCCAGCACGTGTAGAAATTGGCCACGTGGGCACTGTTGCAACTGGCTCAAGGCAGGAGCCGACAACGGGCGCGAGGCGAATGCAAGTTTTTGAGTGCAGTGCACTCGGTATTGTTTGGATTCGAATAGTGCTCCCGTATCTGGTTGACGACCTTTCGAGAGCCATTCTGTATATGACAGCGAGCAATGACGGCCGGCCAGAGTGCTTACTTAAGGCAGAGCTAGTTTTGCTTCTGCCCAAGGTTCTGGAGCATCCAAAAGGAGGGACTAAACGTTCTTTTCTGTTTTGGCTACGGAGCTATGTTCGTGACCGAGTCACTGTTGCAGCTGTCTGTCGCTGTCGGTTGGGGCTGCTCGTCCCTGCCAACTACACCAAGTTACTGCAACTAGTGTCACATACAGTATTTTACAGCAGTGTTTTTGGCACGATCTCACAGCAATTGCTGTTGGTGACACCAATCTTGGAGTGACACCTCGTTCTCAATTTAGTGTTTGTGACCCTAATCAAAACGACCATCATATAGTCACTGTCAGCTACTGCAGGCCGGCTAATTCTCTGTGCGATCATTGACCGTTGCTGAGTTGTCAATGACATTACCATGACCGCTCGTTTCGACAACCTACTCTCCATTGAAGTGATTGCGGTATTGGTTGATAATGTTTTGAAGATTGGGAAACAACTGACGTTCCTCCCACAAACCGTTGGTGTTGAGAGCCATCCCTGTTCTTATCGTTGCCTTACGTGCAAACGACAAACCATTACAGTCTTTTTGGCTGTTGAAATCTCGAACGGAATCAGACGCAAGCTTCAAGAAAAATATTTCCCAGGGTTTATAAGCTTGCCCGATCCATCCGCCCACTATCCTTGCATGATCCTTTCCATCTTAAACTTCTCCCATCTCGCACATCATGCGCTCTTAATCTTTTGTATTACAAAAGAATCGCACGGCTGAATTAAGTGGGTAGCGTTCTTAGGGAAGTAGCAAATACCAGTGTTGATCGAACTTGTGGCACTGGAAAGGGATTCGGTGTGGTTATGACCACCACAGTTGTCGACATAAAGCGTGCGCTTCCATCCGCCCGGTAACACCAAAATTAACTCTCCGCTCCCCAAGTCATTGCGGCATTATACAGTATCCATCCATCCCGTTGGTCCGCTCCTGTACACAACACCTGGGACATTATCAGGTACGCCACGGATAGGGTAGCTTCT